CTCTCTCTCTCTCTCTCTCTCTCTCTCTCTCTCTCTCTCTCTCTCTCTCTCTCTCTCTCTCTGGCACGAACTCTCTCGTCCCCACCTATCTGCAAGGGAAAATAAACGAATTAAAAAAAACAAATTATAGCATCTCGACAAAAACCATTCGCCGTTGCTAAAAAACATAACTAATCCTCTGTGTTTTCTGCCTCTCCCTACGTGTGTGATTATGAACATAAAGTTGCGACGCCGCAAAGTGGGGAGGGGGCGAAGGGGGAGAAGCGACACGGAACACAGAGTAACAGGGTGCAGGTAAGAGAAGGGGATCAACGATGGCAGAGTCGCACAACAGCAATAATTGGTCGGCCGCTGCGAAGGGGTCATACCAGCGCACCGAAACGGGTAATGGTGTCAGGGAGGGAAAACCGTTGTTGCCATCGAGCAGCCAGAGGTCAGCACAGAGCTGGCAGGACATATTATCAGACCCATGGTGCGCGGAAATGTACGATTTACTGACTGAGGGTGCAGCAGAGTGGCCCCAGTCCTGCGGGGAACAGTCTTCTTGTTGTATGAGAAAACAGAAAGCACGGGACAAGACAAGAGCGAGAGATGAGCAGACCGACATCACTGACGTGGTCGAATTGTTCCCTTTTACATGAAAATCTCCGCAACACGCCATACCCATATCAAAATCCGACATTGAACGGTTGTCGGACGACGGATGGCTGAACGACAATATTATTGACATTATTTGCAGTCTGTGTATGAAGAGGTTGGGCGGGGCCAGGACAGGTCTTATGTTCACGTCTGCACAACTTTCTGGCACCCCGAGGTCGTCGCCAATAAAAAATTTGGGAAATTGACGAAAAAAGGATGGGAGGACGCAATTAAGAAGAGACCACAAAAATTGCATCGACTGTGCAACGAACTGCGACGCGCGCCGGTCACTGTGATACCAGTGAACCGTAACAAACACTGGATTCTTCTTCTGTTGCTGAATGCGAGGTCCTTCTTGGAGGTCACTGCGGACAGCCGCATATCCGACCCTCCCATTGCTATCGTCGTTGACTCAATGAGAGAAAAAAACCGAGACGAATGGACGGCGTTGCGAATACTTTTGTGGCACGAGTACCTTCACGAGGCATCGAATTTGCAGGCTTTGACACCCGAAAAGGTTCATTTTTCGTGGGTGACATGCAGGGATCTAGCAGGAAGTAAACTTGTGCATGCGGAATGCCCGCAACAGAACAATCACACGGACTGTGGTGTTTATCTGTGTTGTATCGCTACCACCGTAATACAATTTCTTGGAAGAACCGCGGCAAAGGATCTGACGGCCAAGGACGTACTGAAAGTTATCAAAACTACAACGGTGAACGAAAGAACTGTTCGACAATTTCGCGAGT